ATTAACCTACTAGCATGTCTTTGGAGTATGGGAGGAAACCGGAGTACCTGGAGTAAACCCATGCAAGCACAGGGAGAACATGCAAACTCCATGCAGGAGCGCCATGGTCAGGAATCAAACCCATGACCCATTTACTGCAAGGCAGATGTGCTAACCACTAAGCCTCCCACATATGCAGCAGAGTGCCAGTACTAGTGCCGCGCTACCTTTTGGTGAACTGGCAAGCACCAGTGGCCTAGTACATCCTTTCACATTTCTCTCAGATTGTAAGTTCCCAGGATCAGGCCCTCCTAACCTCTTGTATTGGACTGTATTGTTGCTGTATTGTCTCCTGTTATATTGTAAAGTACTGAGCAAACTGTTGGCACTATATAAATCCTGTATAATAATAATAATACCAGCACTGCAGTATGACTTGGTGACGTGGGGAGTCCCATAATTGCAGTACAAGCTGGTGAGGTGGTGAGCACAAGTATTGTCACGCAACCACCAAGAATTCGCACACAGGCCCATAGAGCTGCCCAACCCAGAATTCAGGTGGAAATATCAAATTTAACTCCTCCCCTTGATTTTTTGGAGCTGTTTTTTCACGGAATATCTGTATGCATTGATTGTGGATCAAAGCATTTTATATGCACAACAATTTATCGCCACCAACCAAAATTCAAAGCTTGCCAGACTATTCGCATGAAAACCCATTACGGTTTTTGAATTTATATTTTTTGGGGGCCTAAACCTCAACATGGGCAATACTAAAGAAATGAATTGCGGTTGTATTGGTCCGCAGACCCCATTCATCATATGCCGTGTTCTCTGCTGCCCATGGCCAGGCATAGATATGAGAGTATAATGTGTTTTATGCATTTCAGCGACAATACACTCTGTCATCCTCGGGGTGACCCTGAATTTGACGGCTCCACAAAATTCAGCCCCTCGCAAATCACCTTAACCAAAAATTTGCAGATGTCTATACTCCCCAGCAAAACATCTGCGTTGATGAGTCCCTCATTCATTTTTCTGGCCGCCTTGCATACAAACAATTTCTCCCCAGCAAGCGTGCCAGATATGAGGTCAAGATGTAGAAGACCTGTGAGAGGACAACAGGCTATACTTATAAGTTTTGGATTTACGAGGGAAAAGATAGTCATGTGGAGCCCCCCAGATGCCCAGACTACATGGGGAGCAGTGGCTAGATAGTTTGGGACTTGATGTCATCCTTTTTCCATATGGGGGTGGACTTATGCGTGGACAATTTTTATTCAAGCGTGCACTATTTAGACATTTGTACAATCTTGGAACTGGCGCATGTGGCATCGTGTGACCTAATGTGTGCCCACCATTAGAAGTGGGTGGATGCAGGGCGGTATATTCTAATGGTGGGCATATCACACTTTTGTGGGGGGGCAGAGATTCCTTCTTTTTTCATTCATTCCACGGCTGCTGCATACAAAAAAAAAAGAACATATCATATATACCCAACAAGGACCAGCGACGTACTGGTACATCACTGGACTTTGAATGGTTATACCAGGATGATGCCTACATCTGCAGGCATCATCCTGGTATCATTTGTTTCAGCTGGTGATCGGCTTTTATGTAAAAGCAATCCTAGTAGATAATTAGCTGCAGGATTGCTTTTACAAGCAGCGGGATATGATGCCCCCCTCCCCCACTGCCTTCCAAGGCTTTCTTGGGCAGTCCCGTGCCATTGGGGGAACCTGAGAATGTAGCCGGTGTTTCTGCCAGCTGACTACGGAACTGATTGGAGACCAGAGTGGTGTCAATCATCTCTATAGTCTAAGAAATCGGAATCTACGAGTATTTCATCTCTTCATTTTCGCAGAATATAAACAGCACCATTTGTAAATTGGGAAAGCATCTGATCACCGATGTTGGTTTGATTAGATAATGTAAGGGCAGAGGAGAGATGTAGAGTCTGATAGACCCCAGATTTCTCAAAAAAGAATATATTACAATGCCATTGAGGTTATAGGGGATATTTGCACTCCCTGTGATAGCATTAAAAGTGATTAAAAAAAAAACGGTGTAAAAATAATAAAAAAAATCAAAATAAACTTAAAAAAAGAAAAGAAAAAAAGTACCCTCACCCCATGCGCACACACCTGAGTTTGTGAGCCTTGATCCTGTGTCAGTATGTAAACAGCGGTTGCACCATGCATGTGAGGTATCGCCACAATCGTCAGATGAAGGGCAGTAAATCTAACACTAGACCTCCTCTGTAAATCTAAAATGGTAGCTTGTAAAGGCTTTAAAACATTACCTATAGATATTAAAAACATATGCAGTTTGTTGCCATTGCACGGGGGCATGCACAGTTTTAAAGCATGTCATGTTTGGTATCTATTTACTCGGCATACCATCATCTTTTATATTTTACCAAAAAATTTGACAATATATTGTATTATTGTGCATTAAAAGTAAAAAGTGTATTTTTAAAAATAAAAAATTGCGTTTGAAACATCGCTGCGCAAGTACTATGTGACAGAAAAAAATTACAGCACCCACCATTTTATTCACTAGGGTGTCTGCTTTAAAAAATATATAATGTTTGGGGTTTAAATTAATTTCCTAGCAAAAAATATTGATTTTTTTTCATGTGAACAAAAAGTGTCAAAAAGGCTTGGTCTTCAGGTGGTTAGAAGAGTGAGTGATGTGTGGCATAAACTTCTAATGCTGGGCATAGAATGCCCCCCACCCCCCAAAATGACCCTTTTTGGACAGTAGACACCCCAAACTATTTGCTGAGAGGAATGTTGAATCAATAGAAGAATTTATTTTTTTACCACAAGTTTTTGGAAAATGACAAAAAAAAAGTTTACACAAAATTGTCACTTAAATGATTTATTGCTCACACAAGCCATGGGTATATGTGGAATTACTCCCCAAAATACATTCTGCTACTTCTCCCGAGTATGGGGGTACCACATGTGAGAGACATTTTGGCAGTCCAGCCAAGTACAGGACCCCAAAATCCAAAGACCACCTTACACTTCCTGACTACCTATCACAGATTCAGAGGACCTGAAATGCCAGGATAGCAAACACCCCCCTCAAATGACCACTTTATGGAAAGTAGACACCCCAAGGAATTTGATAAGAAGCATGATGAGTATTTTTCAGATCTCGTTTGTTGCCACAAGTTTTTGGAAAATGAAGAAAAAAAACAAAAACATTTTTTTCTTTTCTTTTTTTTTATATTTCAAAAGCTTGTGAGAAAAAAATACTCACCATGCCTCTTTTTAAATTTCTTGGGGTGTCTACTTTCCAAAAAGGGGTCCTTTGGGGGGGTTGGTGCTATCCTGGCATGTTTGGGCCTTCGAAACTGTGATAGGTAGTGAGGAAGTGTAATGAGGAAGTTACGCACCTTCAGGCTTTCAAAGTGGTCATTGGATTTTAGGCTCCTGTATGTGGCTTAGACTCACAAAAAGTCTCACACATGTGGTACCCCCATACTCAGTAGAAGTAGCAGAATGTATATTAGGGTGTAATTCCACATATACCCATGGCTTATGCAAGAAATATATCATTTAAATGACAACGTTTTGTAATTTTCTAGAAACTTGTGGGAAAAAAAAAATCTTTCATGGACTCAATATGCCTCTCAGCAGATAGCTTAGGGTGTCTACTTTCTGAAAGGGGTCATTTGGGGTGTTTGTACTATCCTGGTATTTTAGCACCTCAAGAGATGTGATGGGCAGTCAGAAAGTAAAAGCTGTAAATTCCATTATCTCTCCCATAGTTTGTAGACGCTATAACTATCACACAAAGCAATCAATATACACTTACTGGGATTATTTTAACCAAAAACATGTAGCAGAATACATTTTGGCCTAAATTTATGATGAAATGTGTTAGTTTTTTGGGATATTGATGACAGAAATGAGAAAATATTGGTTTTTTTTTAAAAAAACATTTTTTTTTCTCAAAAACTTTCTTTGTTTATAGTGTCAAAAATAAAAAGTGCACAGGTGATCAAATACCACCAAAAGCTCTATTTGTGTGAAAAAAAGGACATCAATTTCATCTATGTACCTTATTGCATGACTGCGCAATTGTCAGTTAAACTAGTGCAGTGCTGTATAGCAAAAAAATGGTGCAAATTGAATAGTTTTTAGACGCTATAACTTTCACACAAAGCAATCAATATACACTTATTGGGATTTTTTTTACAAAAACATGGAGCAGAATACATTTTGGCCTAAATCTATAACTAACTTTGCGTTTACTATATATTTTTTTATAGCCGAAAGTAAAAAATATTATTTTTCTTCAAAATGTTTGGTCTTTTTTTGTATATTGCACATAAAAAAAAAGCACACAGGTGATAAAATACCACCAAAATAAAGCTCTATTTGTGTCAAAAAAAGACATAATTTTGTTTGGGTGCAGCATTGCATGACGCGCAATTATCAGTTGAATTAGTGCAGCGCGGAGTAGCAAAAAGAGGTCTGGTCATTAAGGGGGGTAAATCCTCAGGAGGGCAAGGGGTTAAATGTTTACTGTAGACAAGTTGCAGAGATCCCACACCGCTGCCTCCCATCTCCTGAGACTGCACTCAGTGACTTGGATCTGAGACACTACAGACATATCCCTCCACCCGGCACAGCCAGCAGACCACAGAGCAAGGTACCCTGGGAGAATTGTTCTGTCAGAGATCTTACTAGACTTGGACATTGTGCAAAAGATCAAAAGCACATGCCCTACGGGCCTAGGACTAGGATTGTGTAGGGTGAAAATCAATATTTTGCTGCCAGCTGAACCCCAGAAACCTCCATAAATCCAGTCTAGAGACATAAATTGTGTCTGCAGCACAGAGAAGGAAGATTATCCGAGAGGAAAATCCAGGAATACAGGGACGGGGAACCCAGCTCAGGAAAGTGACCAGGGGATTACAGGCTGATATCACCCAGTCCCCGCCCTACTCTGGACCAATCGTGAGCAGTATGGGTGGAGGAATGGATTTAGTGTTCATGACCCACCTGTGCTGATCTCTGTAGGAGTGTCCTCCTCTATAAATGTTCCCCGTTATTCCATCCTCCTCCATAGACTGCTGATCATCCCTCACATACGCCTCTTCTTCTTCTGCTTTCACCTCAAATTCTATATCGATTGGATCTCCACTCTAAATCAAGGAAATGAGAGAAAATATCATCTGTAAAATGTAAGATTTATGATTGTGACATCACACACAAAATCCACACATTGTCTCCCTTCACAGAAGCAGATCACATGTGATATGTGGGTACATTTTCCCTAAATACCGCATCATGCCATCCTGAAACTGTCCATTTCCTATCCGTGTTGCGGGTATTGACCACAAACACTGAACACGCTCAGTAAATACCGCATGAACAGGGCGTTACATTCACAGAAGGAAATAAAGAATGAAATGCATGCGGTCATTAATTAGTGGTGGAGACATGCGGCCTTCAGGAAATGTGTACTGCTTGGTAAAAGAGTGGGCGGCCGCTGGCATCCTTAACAACCAGTAACACAACATGGTTGTTAGGGAGTGAGTGGCCGCCACGTCCTAACCAACCGATAAATCTAAAAAAAAAAAAGATTTACCGGCAACAAAAATTATTAAGAAAATGGTGTGGGGTCCCCCCTGGGTTCTGGTATGGATTTTGATGGGAACCCCTTGTCAAAATGAAAAGAAATACATACCAGACCTATCTGAGCATGCTGCTCAGCAGGTCAGGAAAGGGGGGTCAAGCAAGTGACCCCCCATCCTGAAACATACCAGGTCACATGCCCTTAACATGGAGTGGATGCTCTGGGGCAGGGGGGGGCTTTGCTCCCGCAGAGCACCTTGTCCATGTTGATGGGGACAAGGGACTCTTCCCACAACCCAGGCTAGTGGCTGTGGGGGTTTGCAGGCAGAGGACTTACAAAATGTAACAAGGGGGCCCTCAGATCTCTCACCCCATGTGAATGAGTATGGGGTACATGGTACCCCTAATTATTCACCCCAAAAAAGTATTCTGTTAAATAGACAGCAGGCAGTTTTTGACAAGTCCTTTATTAAAAAAACAAAACTAAAGCAAAGTGTCCCCCCGGTGTGTAGATCCATCATCAATCACGATGCTCGCTGTCACCGCTGACTCGGAAAAGAAAATCTCCGCTCCCAATGAAGACTCTCCTCTGTCTGACAGCTCTGCTGCCTCCTGCCACTAAATATACTAAGGGACGGTGCCACTCGGTGACGTCACTGACCGGGGCATGTTGTATTGATGACATCACTGACCGGGGCATGTGTTGTATTGGTGATGTCACAAGAGGGCATAAGGCCACCCATGTGATGTCACAGGGTGGTATTGTTCCTTAGTTTATTTAGAAGTGGGAGGCGGCGGAGCTGTCAGATGTCAGGAGTGGAGCTTTGTTTTTTCTTCATGACAGCGAGTATTGTGATTGGATCATCGATGGATCTACATCAGGGGGATTATTGTTCTTTATTTTTGTTTTGTCAAAAAATATCTTCCAGTGTTTTTTTACACTACACTATTTGGTGAATGAATAGGGGGTACTATGTACTCTATACTCATTCACATTGTGGGGGGGGGGGTGGGATCTGGGGGCCTCCTTGTTAAAGGTGGCTTCTAGATTCCAATAAGTCCCCCACCCACAGACCCCCACAACCACTGCCCAGGGTTGTGAAGAAGGGACCCTTGTCCCCATCAACATGACGGCAAGTTGCTTTTGGGGGGGCAGAGTGCCCCTACCCTGAAGCACCACCCAATGTTGAGGGTATGTGGCCTGGTATGGTTCAGGAGGAAGGTGGGCACTCACTAAGGGTCTGGTATTGATTTTGGAGGGGAACCCACGCTTTTTGTATTATTTTGGCATCGGGGTTCCCCTCAAAAATCCATACCAGACATGTCACAGCTGTCAGCGGGGAAACTTGGTGGCCGTCCGCTCCTTGTTTACTGGTTGTTGGGGACACTGGCGGCTGCCCTCTCCTTAACAACAAGCTACTTACAAAGTGTTGCTATGGACACCAGTGGTAAATTCCCCGCAGGCTTCACTACTAAAAAAACAGAGAATGCAGCATCTTACTACATACTGGGATACGGGAAGATACCGCTTTGTGATTGGAGCCCATAGTCTCTACAAGTCCATGTTCTAGATTCTCCATCCACCCAACCTTGTAATAGTGAGGGATGGTGTGACCTTCCTGTGTGGAATCCCCAGGGGGAATACAGAGGATGGGGACATCTCTCTGGTGGGTTCCTGGTATTAGGTGGCTCCATCATATCCTTGTGTCCTTCTGAAAACTCCTCCATCACTCCATACTCCTCATCCTCCTCTTTATACTCTTCTTTAACATCAATATTCTCATCCCCGAGGATTCCACTCTGAAAGATATAATAAAACATTCATTGTAACAAACATGCTGTGTATAAATCACAACTACCAATAATTGTCATCATCTACCTGATGATGGTGAGGGATGGTGTGACCTTCCTGTGTGGAATCCCGGGAATACAGAGGACGGGGACATCTCTCTGGTGGGTTCCCATGACTGGATCCATCTGTAGGAAAACACACACACTGACTGAATCCATTGTTTCTATGTGTTTATCAGATGATGGGGGATCTAGGTGGATCCTCCGTTACTGCTCTCTCCTTTACAATAAAGTCTCATCTTACCCGGTGATGTGAGGGGCTGGCTGATTGTCCATCATGACGTCCTTGTAGAGATCCTTGTGTCCTTCTAAATACTCCCACTCCTCCATGGAGAAATAGACAGTGACACCCTGACTGACACCTTATAGGAACCTGACACACACAATGATACAGTCACCATCCAGACACATCCCTTGTCTGTTACTGGAGAATGTCCCAGAATTCCCGGCACCGCTCACCTCTCTCCTGTCAGCTGATGGACCATCATGGTGGTCAGTTCCAGAATCTTCTGCTCTTTCTCCCTCTCAGGTATCAGAGAATGAGATGGAGGCACCATGGTGAGGCTCTGGGTTCTGCTCCATCCTCTCTGAGATTGGCTCCCCACTAGACTTCTTCTTTACAACATAATATCAGGTTTACTACAGAATCCTCCTCACTTCTCGTCCCGTTGCACTCAGGAGTATGTTCTGTATTAAAAATGAAAACAATATCCAACCATTGGCTCCTGACATCATCTACTAATGTGTCAGGAGAAAAATAAAAAAATATAAAATGGTCTATTGTGTGCAAATAATAGTCTTATATACGATTGACAAGACGAAGAGTGATGTCATGTGACCTCCCAGAATCCTCCTCACCTCTCCGGTCAGGTCTGTGTTTTATTAATAGAGATGAGAGTGACGTCATGTGACCTCCCAGAATCCTCCTCACCTCTCCGGTCAGGTCTGTGTTTTATTAATAGAGATGAGAGTGACGTCATGTGACCTCCCAGAATCCTCCTCACCTCTCCGGTCAGGTCTGTGTTTTATTAATAGAGATGAGAGTGATGTCATGTGATCTCCCAGAATCCTCCTCACCTCTCCGGTCAGGTCTGTGTTTTATTAACCGCATTGCCGCCCAACCACTGTACATATAAGGTGGCAGGGCGGCACTCACAGGCAAAACCACGTTTTAAAATGTGTGTTTTGTAAACAAATAAGGGGGCGCGCGCGAGGCGCGCTGCCGCCCTATTTGTCCACGGATCACCGCCGCAGATGTCAGTCGCCGGGTCACAGCCGCTCCTTAGCGGTTATGTCCCGGCGATCGGCGGCAAACAGTGACAGAGAGCACAGCTGCAGTAGCTGTGCTGTCTGTCACTTCCCTGTCAGCTCGAGGATGAGCTGATCGAGAAAGAACAGTTTCTCTTTCTCGATCAGCCTTGTCCCGCCCAGTACACACCCCACCCCCCTAGTAAAACACTCCCCCTCACTCCTATAACCCTTCCCTGCTAAATAAAGTTTAACCCCTTCCTCCCCATTGCCATTAGTGCCAGTGTGTCCGCCGCAGTCCGCCATAAGTCGCTGATTGCCGCCATAATCCCTGATCGCCGCCATAATTTCCCGAT